TTACGGGTAAGCTGCTAACTCGCGAACCAGAAAAGCTAGAGAGCTGAAATTTTGTGGGAATGTTCCTCGTCCAAGTAGGTACTAATGAGCTCAAATCCAACCCCCGGGTAAGCATGGTGCCCGCGTACGGTCCCCCAAAATTTTTCCCACGTAAATTCATAACTCGGGGTTCTGAGATGCTAGAAAGCTGAAATTTTAGGAGAATGTTCCCAGCCCAAGCAAGTGCTATTGAGCTCAAATTCAGCCCTCGGGTAAGCGTGGTACCCGCGTACGAGCCCCCCAAAGTTTTTCTCGCGTAAATTCATAACTCGGGGTTCTGAGAAGCTAGAGAGCTGAAGTTTTAGGGGGGTGTTCCCTGTCTAAGTGGGTATTAACGAGTTCAAACCCTGCCCACGGATAAGCGTGATGCCTACGTACAGGCCCGTAAAAAGTCCCTTCCAGGTAAGTTATTTACTCTAGAACGTGAGAATCTAGAAGACTGGGATTTTGAGGGGATGTTTCCTGACAGTTCTGGCGGCCAGTCTGAAATTCTTTCAGCTAAAAGCATCTACCGAAAAAACCGATGCCGGTAGCGACAAAAACTGTGGGGAACTCTGCAAAAAACGCATCTTCGCATCGGCAGTTGGTGCGTTGGCCAGTTATTAACATCTGTCAGCCGATTTTAGCAGTCTGCAATCACTTTTTGCACACGCAGTATACATGCACATATAGCTCGGTGGAAAGTCAAATTATCAATTACAGTAAATTCAAAAAAGCATGTGACAGATCGTCCGGTGATTTACTGAGTGTGCGACGATTTAAAGACGTTTTGCTGACCGACAGCTTAGAAGTAGTGAGTTACTGCCGTTTCGTTTTGTGCTCTTGTTTGATTTCTAGTGAGCGAGATCGCTCGGGTAGCTGGTGTAACAATGACTCTTTCAACTTCATTAAATAACAGATGTGTGTAATTAACAAAATATTCTTATTATTCTTACTATTATTAGTACCATTGTCGGTTTAAGTGTTTTGGAATGTATGTAAAAAAAAAAAATTCTGATTCAAATTACAGTTCTGGTTGATATGATTACCGTTATAGGTTGCCGTTGCTAGAGAATTTTTGAAACGGGTTTCGCCGCGGCCGAACAATGTTTGCTACGCAGGATTAGCTATGGCTCGACCAGACGCTAACATCCAGGTAGTTTCCATTAACTGATTCAGGAATAACTTCCGCAAAAATTTCCACCGCTAGAGATGCTATTCCAAGATTTGGTATTATCAGGGCGAGCCGTGTAGGGCTGTAGCGGTATTCCTTGTCCGTTCTCTCTGCCAGTTTTTATTTATAGCCATTTATACTGAAGAGCATTAGGCTCCCATTCATTAGTTCCCATCAACCTACTCATTCATTTTCTCTGGCGAAGCTGCTGAGCACATTCGTTTCATTTTGACTGATGGTCATCGCACTAACGCTTTGAAAGAGGCTGCATATTTTTCCCATTTTCTGAACAAATTCTGTCGGCCTTTTCTGAATGTCTGTTTGTCTCTTCATTCAGTTTCAGTACTTCAGATGTTAGACGTCTACAGTATTCTTCCATTTGATGATCCAGATGGTGGTGTCTGGAAGCAGGGATTCGATATCAGTTACAGTTCAGGTGCAGTGAAGCGTGAGAAAAGACTGGAAGTGATCGTGGTACCGCATTCGCATACTGATCCAGGTTTTTTTCGGCACTGTCGAGGATATTCTATCAGCTTTTTCGACTGGAAATTTGTTTGGCATTCCAGCGACATTCCCTTCTGGCGCGAGAGACAGCGCTTTTCCCAAAAACAGTTATCCGCCTGAAAGGCTGTGCACTTGAAGCGTTCAGTTATGCTGCATCTGATGGTACCAATTTTTGAACACAGTGATCTGAATAAAGGGATGAGGAGAGCCGTTACTTGCTACAGAGGTACCCCGTGCGAAATTTTTCAGTAGGGCAGCGCCGCTTACGTTGCTTCGTTAGACTAATCAGAGCATGATTTTATAAAAGTCAGTCGTTGCTCACTCACACTCTTTGGATCGTTTAATAGCGGGTATCAGTTAAAGTGCCGCTTTTCAGATGGCTGCTAAGACCGAAAAAAGCGTGTTACCTTTGGGGTTATCAAGATGCAGCAATATTCTAGGTGAAGATACGCCAGTTGTGCTCTCCTGTAATGTTTGCCGCTGCTTGTTGCCTCCAAAGTGCATCATGTATGCGCCCCATTTCTTCATAATTTTGCGTCGGTTAGTGACAGGTTTTTGTTTCCAGGTTGGATAAACACTTTTGAAGAATATTACGAGATGCAGACACGTAACATCTTAAACAATATGATGATC